GAGCCTTGAATGCTGCTGGGGAGTCTGCACTTAACAGCGGGCAATGCGGTGTGTTTCTAAAATTAAACTTTTTTGAGCTGGTATGGCTCAGTTGGTTGGAGTGTCATCCCATAACCAAAAGGTTGCAGGTTCGATTCCCAGTCAAGACACCTACAGCAGGCAGCCAATCGATGCTTCTCTCTGGCATCAATGTTTCTCTATCTCCCTTCCTCTCTCTTTAAAAGCAATGGAAAAATGTCCTCAAGGGAGGATTAAAGATATTAAAACTAAATATTTTCAACCTGTGAGAGACCTATGGGAGAAGACAGTAAACATACATGCCCCCACCCCCCAGCTTAGGAAGTAAAATACCGCATCTCTGTCCTCACCTCCTCCACACCCCACTCCCTGTATCTGGCGTTTATCCTTCTGACATTCCTTATACCTTTTACTACAAACATATGTATCTCTAAACAATGTAAAGTGGCGAGAAAGATTCCACACGGGAGAGTGAAAATATCAGCCTGTTTAAATCAAGAGCCCGTAGTGTGTGTGTGGGGGGGGGGGGGTCTGGTCCCCACACTGGCAGCCATGGGACAAGAGACGGCAGTGGGACAGGTGACAAAAAGACATTGACATAGCTGTCTTCACGGAAGGGCTGTTGTAATACGGGGAGAAGAGGCAGCCTCGGCCTTGGCAGGCATTCCCAGGGCAAGGAGGAGACAGACTTGAATGAGCAGTGACAGGGGAGCAGCAGCGAGAAGGGAGAGTCTGCAGGGGTTGGAGAGGTGGGGACAGCAGCGAGGCAGGTGGCAGCTCCCAGTGGCTGAGAGGCTGAGGAGGGGCATGAGCCACGTTAGCCAGCTCACAGAGCACATCGGGGAAAATGCCAAGAGCAAGTGGCCGAAGGGCCTGGCCAGGGAGCGAGGTCAGGCACGGCACCCAGAGAAGTGGCACTGACAGCGGGCTTCCAGGGACACTCGGATAGGCAATGCTGCGTGCCGGGGTCCCTGGGCAAGGCAGGAGCATCGGCGCAGGAGGGGAATTACTGGGCCTGTTCAGGGAGCAGCTGCAGCTTGGCAGACCCCTGGGGAATGACGGGACGTCAGTCTACAGAAAGCAGAGGACCTCCCGGGGATTATTGTGGAAAACCTTACTTATCAGGCTGCAGTGCATACAACGTACACAGGTAACTCACACCAAATTCACTCTCGTGCCCAGGAAATCTGACTTAATCCCTTTTACTTGAGAACTAAAAAAGTGGAGAAAGCCCATCTTGGGATGTGTTGATAATATCATTGATATTAGTGCTGCTGATCAGTTCTAGCTGGGGAAGGGCAGACCCGCAAGCCTGCAGGGGCCCGGAGTCATGGAGGGCCTCTCTCCCCCACTTACAAACTGGTAACCCAGAGGTTGAACACTGGGTATTTCAGCATTCTCCTCTTTAATATACAGTATAAAGTAATGCAGAGATGGGAAGTGAAGCATATTCTAATATAACTAACCCTGCAAAAGCAATTTTGCTTCATGCTTCAACCCTAAATGTCCCTGCTTACTAACTCATCTGCGACAGTGACACACCCTCCCTTGAGCTGCAGGGTTTCCTGGGTTTGAAAAGTCAGGGCAGCAATGATCACATCTTTACGAGTATCCAAGTAAAGCAAAACCACTAGAGTGTCAGCCTAGGGATGTAACTCATCTCCTCCAATGAATAAGATGTGTATAGCAAACAGCAACAACATCTGTTTAATTTTTAAAATTCACAGACAGTCATTAACATGATGTCATTTTCATGAGGGCACTGAACAACATCCTATTAGGGAATCAATAAGAAATTCCAGACCAGGCTGGGCTCTAGACCCTCAGGTCAGCATTTCAGAAATGCATTCGTTCATTGATCTACAAACACTTTGTTAAAAAAAATCAACTCCATTTCATTCGCTGCGATATAGCGACAATCATACGACCTACTCCGCAGGGTTGTTGAGAGATTTAACAAAATCATCTCAAGTGCTGGGCACACTGGGGTAGAGTCGGCACCCATAACCTGAAGACATGGCTACTGGAACCAACCTCCCTCCTTACAGGGTGGAGATTCTGATTCTGAACCAAGCGAGACGTAAATACTTTAGGGAGACGCTTCTGACACTTGTGACATACCGGAGGAGACAGGGAGGCAAACATATGTGGCAGGAGAAAACTCACCAAGATAGATCAACTGCAAAGTGCTACGGGACCACAAAGAAAGGAGTGCTAACTGGCGGTGGGAAGGGGTGTCAGGAAAGATGGCCCCTCAGCTGAACTGCAGCAAGGAGGAGCAGGCACCCTGGGCGGCACCCTGGGCGGCACCCTGGGTGGCACCCTGAACGGGAATGCATGTAACAAAGGAGATGGGAATTAAACACCTCCAAATGTTAAGGGGGTGGAGGGGAGGTGGGGGAGAAAGGGAAGCAGATAAGAATGGGAAGGTCGTCAGGGGTAAGGAAGCCTTATCACACAAGGAATAAGAAGCAAAAGAAGCATTTACATAATATAAAAAACAGATGTGTGTTTTTTAAAATCTATTGGAAAAAGTACATGAAGAATGTATGAAAACACAGCCTTTAAACTCTTGAACCATCCCAGGAGGCAGTGGGGATGGAGGGCCCGGAGCAAACCAAAGGCATGTTAGAGACAAAAACTCACAGGATGGACGGGTTTGTTACTGGTGTTGGAGCACAGAGACTGCGGGTGCAAAGGAAGGCGGGCCAGCGGTCCTGGCTTCAGCAGGTCATCCGACAGGGGGCAGTATCGCTGACCGAGGCGGAAGCAGCAGCGTTTGTGGCAAGAAACAAATGAGTGAATTCAACTGGAGGCTGGTAGAGAGTCTGGCATATAAATCCGATACCCAGAGGGATGGAAGTACCAGCTGAACCGAGCTAGCTGGAACCAAGCAGAGGGCTCTGCCTCGGAGATGACAGCCAAGCAGTTCCACTAAAATGGAAACATCTAATTCAGGCCTTCCGAGGCGGGCCTGGGGAGGGATAAGTGGCCATTAAGTGACTCCAGCCTCTCTGGAGCTCTGAAAAACCAGGGACAGAATGAGTCAAACCAATGCAGCGAAAACCTGAAGTGACCACCGTACCAAGCCTGAGGACAGGACTGGAAGAACCAGAACAAGGATCCTTAGCTCCAGGATTCTCCAAGTACAGTAGGTCAAGGACCCACAGTATTAGCATCACCGAGTTCCAAAATCTGAGCCCCACCCCAGACCTACTGCATCAGAAGCAGGGCTGGGCACCGGGGAAGGGCACCCTGGGTGGTAGCCAGGTGCCTGTTAGATCAGCGGCTCTTGAGCTCTGTGGCCTGTAGCTAATGCCCCAATTCCTTGAGGGGCATGGGGTGTGAAAGAAAGAAAGAACTCCCAGAAGACGGATTTCCAAAGGCTTTAGGAAATTAAGTAAACATTTTAGCGAACTTAAGTAAACATTAGGAACTCTTGCTAATTTTTAACAATGAGTGACTCTTCCCTGGGAGCGAAAAACTCGGGAGGCAAACCAGATGAAGTCGGTCAGTGGCACACCCAGGAAAGCTGCCCACTTTGGGGATGCAGTGAGCTCGCTACTGAAAGTCTCAAAAATCCCGAGTGTGAGGAGGACACTCTGCTTCCGAGAGGATGTTACGGCACCAGTCCAGCCCCCTCTCATTTTCTCCCATCCCCTCCCTGCTGACCAACATCAAGCGCTTATGGGGTGGCCGCCTAGAGTTACAGGATATGCAGCAGGCCTCTGGGTCAAGCTAATTATAAGCCTAATTTCTCTCCCTAAGGAACCAAGCTAAATCTGCCACGTATCCAGCTTGACACACAAGATCGATCTCAGCACGGCCACAATATGTTTTTTTCTGATAGCAAGGACCATGAAGCACGTCAAACAAAAGCGTGACGGGAGAGCAAGACAAAACCAAGCCAGGGAATATAGAGCCAACAGGAAAAAGGGAAAGGAAATTAAAACAATGTTAATGTGCCATTTATAATCCAACTTAGACGCGCAACCACCCTCTTGCTGCAAAAAGGTACCTCTCGTCGCCATTAGCTTTTATCTTTGGCGACTGCAATTCTTATCCCCAAGTATTGCATCATATCCTCTCATTCAGAATTATAAATAAGTCAGAGATTATTTATTTTCATAATCAGCATGCATGCAGTGTATGGCAGAGGCATGGCCGGTCCGGGCAACGTGGGTTTCCTCTCCCTTCCTGTGGCGAAACTCCCAGCCAGACCTGCATTTCCCTGCGCTTTCTCCCGCTGACCTCCCGGCCTGCGTGCAAACCACACGCAGGGCAACCGGTGCCGGGCCGCCGGGCCGTGACCATCCACTCTGCTTCAGGAGCACACACCACACACCTGCCCCACTGATGTTTTCTGGCTTGTTCTTTCTTCTAACACTCCCTCCTCCTGGGAGGGTGATATGAAGATCAAGGAGCTGATGTTTGTCAAGTAGTTTAGGCTTCTCAGATGAAAGGCAACTTGAAAGCTCACGGACCGAGGCTGGCATTCCAGCAGAGGTGTTGAAGCCGACTCCACATTTGGGCTTCAAAGAAGGAACTCAGATTGCAAAGACATTCGTTGGGGAAGCTTGTGCCTTCTTGCCAAGGGCGGGCAGATTCATTCGAACATTCCTTAGCTGGATTTCAACATCAGAAATACCGGGCCCCTTGCTATAGTAAGTAGTACACAGGGGAAAGGACCCTTTTCTCAGCCCTTCTCTAAGTGGCTTTGCTTCCTCAAGCTCCCCTACTGCCAAGTCTTGCAACTGTCATCCCCCTCCTACAGGAGGGGCCACATGGCAGCTGCCAGCCAACACGCTTGCTCTGAGCCAATAGACCAAAAAAAAAAAAAAAGGCCAAAGACAAAGCTTTATGTGTATGTTGGCACACATGTGAACTCAGGCTGCTGGGGGAAAAAATGACACAAAGGGCACATTCATGGCCACACAGAACTCCTCGAACATATAAATAGCCATCCTTGACCCAACACCTACCTACTCGGGGTGAGGCACTGTGTTAGGCGGGGCACATGGAGCGTCACGCCGCATTCTCCACAAATGTTCTGCCAAGTCGGAAACCGAAGGTCCCATCATGTAGATGCAAAGAGACTGAGGTTGAATTTGAGATTCTTGAAGGGCGGCAAAGTCCATCCAACATCACGCAGTGAAAAGATGGCAGAGCTGGAATTCCACCCAGCTCTGTTTTGAATTCCTCCCCCTGGCTCCCTGCTCCAGCACCCGGAGAGCCGAGAAAGCTGCAAAACTGGCCACACAAACACCCTTGGGACACGCACTAAGCCCTCCACGGGTCTCAGACAGGGGAAGGGTAAATCAAGTCATGAGGGGGAACCCCAGTCTTATTTTAGACACTAACCTTAACCTCCTTCTTACCAAAACTTGTTTGTTTTCCCTTGTTCTTTTTTAATCGGTGCAAGCAGCAATACTTTAATTGGCTGATTGTTTCATCGTATCTTCCCCCTACCCCCCGAGTTATCTCTTACAAAGTGCATAGCACTGCTCTAAGGCTTAGTGTGAGTTCAAAAAATGGCCCTGGCTGGTGTGGCTCAGTGGACTGAGTACTGGCCTGTGAACCAAAGGGTTGCTGGTTCGATTCCCAGTCAGGGCACATGGCTGAGCTATAGGCCAGGTACCCAGCTGGGGGCACATAGAGGCAACCACACATTGATGTTCCTCTCTGTCTCCTTTTCCCTCCCTTCCCCCTCTCTAAAAATTAATTTAAAAATAAAAAAGATACACAGCACTTGGTGACTATGCAAAAAAGTTCAAATGTGGGATAGAACGTGAAAAAGAATGGAAATATGAATCGCAGGTAGGCTACAATGTGCAATCAAAGGGCTTATGTTTGCTCCCCATTTTATGAGCAAAAAAAAACACACGTAAGTCCTTAATAAGGCTGGAAAGTGCTGGGGAAAAAATCATCATAGCTCTTGACCCCTGGCCCATCCATTCGGGGCAAGTAAGAACTCTCCTAAAAAAAATCTGATTGTTCTCTGAATTCTTTCATTTCTTCCACATTAAAATAGCCTTAACTGTTCTTTCCATTACAGCTGGCCATGCGACACAGAATGCACGAACCCAAATAATGAAGTGTTTCTAGTAACTATGTGTGTAAGCCAGGGACAGAAGCCTGGAAGGTACCTGGGATTAGCAAGAAAGCTTTTCTCCAGCCATTTCTCTCATGCAGGTCCTGGACCTTCGGGCAAACTCCCACCAAGGGGCCATTCTTGAGACAAGAGAAGGTGTTGTGGAGGAGCTTGGATAAACACCCAAGACTGTAGGAAGTCAGTGTGCTCTGCCCACTCCCGTGTACTGGCCTGAGGTCACTGAAAGCTGGCCCTCTGCCACCTGGGCCAGGACTCAGCCACTATGAATAATACTGCAACGCCACTCCAGCTCACTGGAAAGGCACCCTTGAAAGGCAAACCATGCAGAGAATGCTACAGCACCAGAGGGAGCTTTTCTCGGAAGGATCGGCTGAATCCTGGACCATCAGGCTCCACAGCAACCAGACAGAAGAGCCTCAGTTTTTATAAAGTTTCAGAGCAAGGAAATGCAGTCCTTACAACTGTGCTGCAGCAATAATGACTTTTGAAAGCAGCACACATTCTCACAAATAGAGACAGGTGCATAAACTCATCCCACTCAGCATGGTCTTCCATTCAGATTGGGGAAAGAGCACCATGCTGTTGAGCTCCAGGCATCAAGGCTACCGTTGCTGTGGCACAAACTTTTCATGCCATCAGCAAACTTTTCATGCCATCAGGTAACTTTCATACAAGGGTCTGTGATGTGGCATAATCATCAATACCGTATGACAGTCAGGCTGCTCTTGCAAAGAGGATCAGCACCATTTAATGAAACCCAGCATGGGCCAATTGGTGCCAACTACCATTTAGTTGGTCTCACAATTGCTGCTCATAGCACAGGCGAAACAGCATCACCTCTGAGGTGTGTCCAAAAGGAGAGCCCTGGTTCCTCTGGAGGAGACTTGGTTCCTGTCATGGGTAACATGCTTCCACTTTAATTTCTGATATATTTTTTCCTTAAAGGCACTCCCTGCCACACTGCCCATGAATCCCACTCAGGCCTCCAGACAGGCTCATTCATTTGGTACGTGTTTTTGGGTGACTTTCACTTTGCACAAGCTGTTTCCGCTACCTGTGTCCTCCAGGTGAGCTGGGCGCACACGTCACCCTCTCACTTCCAGGAGCAAGCTTTCCCTTGCACTTCTCACAGCACTGCAATTCCCCATTGGATTTTCAAGAATGTTTCCTTTCCTCCACGAGGCTGCAGTGAGATCTGGTTATAGCATCTTTTATCCCTTGTTCCTAGCCTAGAGGAGAAGTTTAATGCTAGGTTTGTTGAATGAATGAGTGAACTAACGCACTTTAAATTAGCACATTGGTGGAAACCCTGGAACCACATATGCAGCCTGCAATCTGGAGATTCCTCACCAGCCAGTTCCTGAAAACCGCACAATCCCCTTAAATTGTGGGTGGGGGTGACAGGAACAGAAGGGAAAGGGAAATGGAGGTAGTGTCAGAGTACCTCTCTGCTAGTCCAAAAAGGTGGGAGCCCCACTGGCATGTATTCAAAATCCAGACTTAGGGGTCATGCCAGGGAGAAAGAGGAGGGAGTGTATTAGCACCGCCCTCAGAAGTTGTCAATACACACAAGTTAGAAAGTTTGAGGTGGAGACCTGTTCTGAAATTGTGTGGCCACAAGTTTTGAGCCAGCCTGATCACCCAAGTAGGGGCCAAGAAGCCCAGGATCTTGGTGGCACGTCTAGGGCCTAGTAGGAAGGCATGAAAAATCCTCTCCCTCCCAAGATCTTGCCCCTTTGCCGGGCAGCAGAGGGTGGGGAGCCGCGTTCCTATCCCGCTGGAGAGGCAGCACTGTCCTTGTCTTTCCTCCTCCTCTCCCCAGCCCCTGGGTATCCCCAGATACCTTTCCGAGGCCCTCTCTCAAACCCAAAAAAGCCGAAGGGATTGAAGAGGAGGGGGCGAGGGTGTGGGTTTAACCACGAGCAGGGCAGACAGCTCTCACCTTCCACCTAACTCCCCAGACCAGCTGTGCGCCCCACAGAGGGCGGCTCCCACCGCCCCGGCAAACTCCTGCGGCCCGGACACCTCGCGCCCCAGCTGCCCTCGCGGCGTCCCGAGCCGCCTCAGATACCAATTGGCTTTGCCAGCCTTTGCCCAAGTCATCCGCAGGGCGCCCGGGACACCCAGGCGGTCCCCAACCTACAGCCCGACTCCTCCGCCCCAGACAGCGCTTACCTGCTTACATGGCCCGGTTGGAGCCCTGCAGTCCCGCACGGAAAGGCTGTCCCTCCGCCGCGGCGGCGGAGCCCCAATTCCCCAAGGAATTGATTCCAGTGGCTGGCGGAGGAGGGGCGAAGGGAACAAGCCGGGGGAGGCGAAAGGGGAGGGAGAGTTCCGCCGCGATCCGGGCGCAAGAGTCGGCGCAGGGGCGCACAGAGCAGGAGTACAGAAAAGCCACCTAAACCCGGGGCTGTCCCGCCCGAGAGGGGACGAGACCAGGAGGCCGGGGAGGATGGCTAAAGTGGGAGGAGAAGGACCGCCAGCGGTCACTGTGCGTCTGCGGCTCCCCGAGGACTTAAGCCCGGAGGTAGGCAGCTAAGCGGGCAGGAGCACAGCAACCTGCCCCCCGCCTGTGCCTGCAGCACCCAGTCGGGGAGGAAAAGTTGGGAAGAACTTTTAAGGGCCGGGAGAGCCCGAGCGGCAGGAAACGCGAGCAGCCGGGAGAGGAGGGAGGAAGGGGCCGTGCGAGTGGGAGGGGACGGAGCAGGCGCCTGCGGCCGCGGTTCCCCCACCCCCGGGCCCGGCTCGGCTGCACTGGGGGCCGGGAGGCGGAGAGAGCTCCGGGCGCGCGTCCGAGGGCGGGAGGAATGCGGCCGAGAGCGCGCGCGGGGAGCGCGGAAACGTGGATCCAGAGCTCGGGAGCTGGAGGCGTGCGGTCCCGGGGACGTCACAGCGCTGGAATCCGAGGAATGCCGGGCTGCAGGAGCTCCTTCTGCAGGCCCGGGAGAAGTCGCGCACTTTTAACGTGGCAGGTTTGGACAACGTTTGAGAAGGTGGGGGCTGAGGACAGAGGACGGGATTCAACTCCCCGGAGTAAGAATCGCAGGAGTGGCGAAGAAATAGAGACCAAAGCCACCCCAAACTCGCGCCGCTCCAGGAGGGGGCGTAAAGTGGGAAGACATACAAATCCCACCGAGACCTCCGAAAACACCAGAGGCTGGACAGTGGTAGCAATTTGCCCTCTCCGGCCCGGAGCAAGCACAGTGCGTCCTATAGTGGGGAACTCTCCAAGCAGGGCGCCCCCATGCAGACACTGCACAGGGGAAATAGACCGGGAGATAATAAGGTGGCTTCACCGAGAGCCAATCTCAGAGCTCTGTTTCCAGAGCATGCGGAACCTCAGGGTACTTAGTGGTCCTCGTGTCGTAATCCACCCACCACACCCCACCCCACACACACATCCCCTCTCCTGGCTGAGTGCTACGAGTCGGAATAGGTCGTTTTCCCGGTTCTTTCCAAGCCACAAACTCGCCCCACCCCGCCTGGGCAGCCACTGGGAGGGAACTTCCTTAGCACTTTCGGAGGTGGAGTTAGTGAGCCGCAGCCGGTTTGATGGAAAAAGCGCGGAGCCAGGAGGGGGACCCAGGGTGTTAGGCCTTGCCCTGCTGTAGTCCGATTGCATGACTGAGGAGTATTCCAGCCTGAAAGCCTTGGCTCCAGCAGCTGTGGAATGAAAGAGTTTGCCTGCATTTCTGCCCTCCTTTGCAAAACTAAGAACATGCCTTAGGAACCTGCTGTCTCACCAGGACTCAAGCCCAGCCTTTTCAGCCTTTCTTAGGTGGAAAAGGGTATTTGAAGTCATCCTCGCAGAAGATACTATTCCGAATTACTTCACTGTCCCACAACTCATAGCGAGATTCTGGGCCACTCGGAGAAGGGAACGGGAAACCGAAAAGCAGCACCTATTGTACCCATGAGGTGCAAATTTGTGGTGACCGACTTTGCTGAGCATTTGATAATCCCCAAAAGGATCCCAAGCAGAGGAGACTCCAAAGGGATAGAAGGGGGTGGGAGGTTCCAGGGAGTAAGATCAGTTTCTCACACTTCCAAGGAAATAGCTGGATAGCTGCAGTGTGGACTTGCTGGATTTCCAGAGAAAACTAGGGGGCGCCTCTCTGAGGCCCAGGAAGTATGGAAAGCACTTTGTGCTCTGGTGCGATCCCCATTTCCTGGATAAGGAAAGTGAGGCATGAAGAGATTACAGATCTCACCAAGGGTCACAGAGCAGTAAAATCAGATAATGGAGCCTAAGCTGGCCCCTCCCCTGCCAAAAAAAAAAACAACCCCAAAACCAAAGCTACTTCTCTCTTCAACTTTTGGACAAAACAGGACTAAGATTAAAGATACAGAAATCCCTGCAGGCTCTCCAGGTAAAACCCCAGCTCCTGCTCTTTCCCTGAGATAGGACAGTGTCTTTAGGGGTCTTGGAGGACTGGAGTGGCATTTGTGTATCGTCGTTCTAAAGTCACTGTGATAGCAAATTCCCAGCCCAGCCGCTAAGACGAAGCGTGGTGGAAAAGAATGAGCAAAGGACTTCCCTGGAGACAGGACTGTGGTTCTGCCTCTGACCAGCTCTGTGACCCTGAGCAGGCCACTCCGGCTGAGGCCTGAGTTTATTTTTTCACTGGAGTGTGACATGGAGGTCCCAGTGGGGTTGAATTAGTTCAGCTCCGAGGTCTTGCCCGGGCCTGAACATGGAAGAATGCATACCAGGCGGATGGTATGGCGAGGGCGGAAGCTAAGTGGTAAAGCCAGGCTGTCCTAGGGAGAGGGCTGTTTTCACACGGCCTCCAGAATCCAAGTGAGCGTTGGCAATGTGGCTGAGTGTTCAATGGGAAACAATCAAGCAAACCTGTAAGATGTAGCACTGACCCTATAGACTCATTTTTAATTTAAACAGTTTTACTTCTAAAATTTTTCTCTTAAACATTATTTTTTTTAAAAGCCTATGTAGTACATCCGACCAGCCACAGTTCTCCTCCTTTGGGACAGATCAGAAAAGTGCAAGTGAGGACATTATTGAAATAGGAAGTCCAGCTTGAAGTGAAAAAAACCCTTTCATGCTCACCTTTCCTGCTCTGGGTAAGCGTTGACAAGCGAGTCACAAGCTCCTTTCACAAAGAAGAAAAACATGTCCTAAGTCTGACTCACGTTCAAGTCTCCTCAGTGTGCACGGAAGTGGGCAGGGGCTTGGTTGATGGGATGGGTCCCGTATACGTGACAACAGATGGACTTTACGGTTTTGTGATTTTAAGAACTTGTCAGTAAAACTATCCCCCGAAAGATTTCCATTTTTTATGCGCCTCCATGATTCCTCCTACCTTAATGTGTTCCTCACAATAATTTATTAATGTTATACCTTCAAAACACTGAAATCAGCGAGAGCAATACAAAAGAACCAAAGCAAACTGGAAAGTCAGTAGGCTCTCTTAGGAGAACTGATGATCTCTAGGGATCCAATTTATGTATTTGTATACATAATATGTATATTATATATAAAGGTATATGAAATTTCATGTAGAATTATTATTATTTTGTTTTTATCCTCGATCTAGCTCTAATTCCTAAAAGGATATCTGGCAGATCACAGTAATAGAGGGAAAGAAAGTGGGAGCTTTCTCAAAACACACGTCATCTCTATCCTCCTTGCTCCCACAGCTTCTTCACCCTATTCCTTGGGTCCGAGGTAGAGACTTGGATGGGTGTATGTATGTGTGTATTTATATTCGAGACAGCGTTGAGATACAATTCACATTCAGTTACAAATACAAATCTTAAGTGTGCAACTTGATGACTTTTTCACATGCATACATCCGCCCCCCAGATCAAGATACGAATAATGCCCACCACCACAGAAAGTTCCCTGGTGTGACTGCTCAGTGAGTATCACCTCCCCAGGGTGGCTTCTGCCTCCAAAGAGCGCTTTTGCTGGTCCTCAGACTTCATGCACTTGGAATCACATTGTGTGCGTACATGTCGCAGTTTGCTTATTCATTATCCCACTGATCTGTTGGGCAGGTATATTTTGACAGCATCCCCCAAGTAACTCTGCTATACCTGGCCCCTCCAGTTCAGAACCACTGACTTCTAGCAAAACTATAATAAAATAAACCTAGATTGTGAATACTTACAAAAATTGTTGAGTGACAGAAAAGGAAAGGAAGAGAACGTTTGAAAACAACCAAATTGAAGAGAGCTTTAATGGTAGTATGCAGAGCCTCTTACTAATAAAAACGAAGTGAGAGATGGACTGGAATATGACGTTGTTGTTATATAGTGATTTTTTCAACAGCTGTGTGATTCTGCAGAGCAGTCGTGTACAGCCACACACAGTACACAGTGCTACTTGAGCAGACAAAATAGTCTTCGTGTGAATGGCACCCCCAGAGCCGTGCGGTTTGGTGTCCCTGCTACTGGGAGTTCTCCCTTTAGAGAGAATCCATGGCGTCCGCTTGGGAAGGATCATTTCTGGCACAGAAGACAGCCCTTCCTTCTGCCGGCTGCATGTTTAAGGGCATTCAGTTTGGGGAGGCCCCACCTTTCCCTGGGTTGACTTGTCCAGGTGGTCTCCCCGCTCTCCACTATTGGTGAAACGATAGGAGCCTGTTGTGGAGGCAGAGGTCAGGTGACAGTGCAAAGGGCGCATTTGGGGTCGCTCTCCAGTCTCGGAAGCCAGACATACCTGCGTCCCTTTCTATCGCATACTGTCTCCTGTTCACTGTCTTTCTCGTGTCTCCACTCTCACTCCCGAAGCACCCCCCCCACCCCCGTCTCGGGCCACCAAGCCTTCTGGTCACTGGAATTCTCCAGCTCATCTCTCTTCCTTTTTCTCTGTCTCTCAGGAAGAGGCTCCCTGCCTTCCAAAGGGGCTCCTTCCTGACCTGAGCCAAAGGGCAGAGGGCCCCCCATATCTGTACCTGCCCACTTTGGCTCCAGCGGAATGATTTCTTCATCACTTCCTTCAGGAAAGAACCTCAAAGGGTTCCAGGTTGTATGTTTTTAACCTGGGAAGAGAAGGATAAATCTGTTCTCCTGAGACACTGTGCCAGCTCCTCTGGCAACTACGGGTGGCCACGTGGCGACGATGTCAGAGTCAGGTGCACGAGCGGCCTGGCTCCAGGCAGGTCACGAGTTCTTCCAACGAAAATGGGCAACGTCAAAAATTCCACACCACAGCAATACGTGTTGATCAAGAAACTCCATCAAGGGTAATTCACACACACTGTTGGCACTTTCAGGAAGATGTGAAGAGATAAAACCTAGGCACTACTAAGTTTCTTGCTGTTTTCACTGTATTCATCATCATTCTCTACTAATTTTACCTTAGTTGACAAACACCCTTTGAATCATGTAGACAAGATAGGAGTTTCCCGATCACATTCACCGGGCTCAGCTTGCTGACTCTCACCCCCTCCCTCAGCACCAACCTTGCTTTCCAGCTCTTTTTTCCCACTTGATGGGAACACACACCTGCAACTGTCCCCACGTCCTCTACCCACCCCTTACTGCTGAAAACCACCTGTTATCCAGAAGAGCAGGTTTCTACCACTGAAATCTGTCTTGGAGGGCTTCTTCATTTTCATTTAAACACTTTGAAACTGCAGTGGAATAGAGTCACTGAAAAAGACCACTGTCCACAGTCATTTCTACACGGCTGTTAAACTCAGAAACGCGACGTGATGTTGAGTGTAGCAGCAGATCTATCTGGGAGACAGGACCGGTCGTCTTCACGCACATCTCTG